AAGGAAGACCCTGTCTCAAAAAAAAGACAAAAAAAAAAAGTCAAAATTTTTTGGATTTTTATTTTATGGATATTAGTGTTTTGTCTGCTTGGATATAAGTGCACCCATGTCATGCAATGCCCACAGAGGGCCAAAGAGGGTATCAGAGTCCCTGGACTAGAGTTGTAAATGGTTGTTGGCTGCCACATAGGTGCTAGGAATTGAATCCAGGTCCTCTACAAGAGTAGCCAGTGCTCTTAACTGCTGAGCCATTTCTCCAGCCCAAGATTTATTTCTATTTTATTTGTATGTTTTGCCTGCATGAAATGCTCACAGAAGCCAGGAGAGGACGTCTGGACCATGTGGAACTGGAGTTACAGCAGGTTGTGAGCCACCACCATCAGGGTGCTGGGTACCAAACCTGAGTCCTCTACAAGAGCTGCAAGGGCTCTTAACTGCTGAACCATCTCCAGCCCCTCCTTTGGTTTTCTTGTGACAGAGTCTTAGCCCAGGCTGGTGATCCTCCTGCCTCAGCCTCCTGTGAGTGATTAGCTTTGTTTTGATGCCCTGTTATATGGGATCCCATGTTAGTAAATCCTTGACAGTGATGCTGATTGAGGCTGTAAGGGTAGGAAAGGCAAATTTATATATCTATTCCAATAAAAATGAATTGCTGCAGTGGTCTAGCATAGTCCAAGTGACTGACTGACTGGCCTTCTTGAAGGTCAGTGTTAAGTCTGAGATTCAGTTTTTATTGCTCTTACTGGCAGGATGGACATTCAGTAGTATCGTAGGTAAGTCAGTCTTGTGAAGAGGACCCCATTCTACTGGGTCCAATCATAGCTTCTGTCCCTGCCACTGTGTATACTCTGTTCATAGCTGAATTATTCAGGCCATGGTGGTCACTGGCAGAGGCAAATTGATGTCAGTGGGTTAAGTCCTCTCTACTTACTTGCTTAGTGCTTCTCACATGGTGGATGTCTTTTGGTGAGCGTTAACATGAGCATTGTGTGTTTGGTGCATGTGCCATGGTGTGCAAGTTGAGGTCAGAAGTTTGTGTGAGTCAGTTCTCTCCTTCCACTATGTGAGTTCTGGGGACCAAACCTAGGTTGCCAGGCTTGATGGCAAGAATCTTTACACACTGAGCCATCTCAGGGGGCAGGTGTAATCCTTACATTTTGTGCCCCTAGGTCCATCATAGACTTATATGTCAGTCTTGTTATCTTTATCTTATAGATTTTTTTTTCATTAGGCTCCTGACACTTGGCCAGTCTATTCTTTACTATCAAGTTATTTATATTCTGACCTTGGGCAATTTCTATTTCCACAAATGTATGTAATTCAGTCCACGGTCTGAAGCTCTGCCCACTGGGAGGGTTTCCCATTATCACTGTCTTTCAAAGCCACCCGAGTAGGATTATAAGCAGCTATTTGACTTGTACATACAAAGCTAACCATGAACCAAACGTCATTTTTTTCTCTTCTGGTATCTGAACATAAGGCAAACTTTCACACAGTTATCATGTGTGCTGAAGGAACGTGTAACTGTGGTCGTGGTGCATAATACAGGGACCAGGACCAATCGTTTATGCAAATTGTCTGTGCTTATTGGTCTACTGGCTCCGGTGGACCCATTCCATCTTACTCATTCCATTGTTGCTAGGTTCATCTGATCATATGATTTAGTATAGTCTAATGACGGAAAGCAGCTCCTGTTAGGTGCCAGCCTATTTGGTCTGATGTTCTACTTCTACCAGAGCTTATGGTCAGCAAGAACTTTGGTTTTTTAAAAAAATATTTTATTATTTTTATGTGTATGAGTGTATTGCCTGCATGTAAATGAGTGCATCTGTGTCATGCAATGCCACAGAGGTCAGAAGAGGGCTTCAGATTCTCCTGGAGTTAAGAACAGTTCGCAGCTGCCATGTGGGTGCTGGGAATCAAACCCGGGTCCTCTGCAAGAGCAGTCAGTGCTCTTAACTGCTGAGCCATTTCTCCAGCCCCAAGAACTTTGTTTTTAAGCAAACATTTCTTCACCACATGTGGTCATTAGGGCTGTTATTTACTTTGTTGTAGTTTAATGTCATCCTCCATCATCCACCTGGCTTTAGCAGGGGAAAGATGAGTAAATGGAATGAAGTGTGATGAGGACTAATGCCCTTACATCCTTCAGCTCTTAAGAATTAAGAGAATACTGGCCAAGTGTGAAGGCGCATGCCTTTAATTCCAGCGGATCTCTGTGAGTTCAAGGGCAGCCTGGTATACATAGTGAGTTCCAGGCCAGTTGGGGCTACAGGGCCCTGTCTCAAAAAGACCAAAAAAGAAGAGAATACCTAGTATTCCTAAAGGTTGAGACATTATCATTATCATTAGTCTCTTGTAGTCCAGGCTGGCCTTGAACTTCAACCCTCTACCCTCTACCTTCTCAGTGCTGGGGTTATAGGCCTGAGACCTGAGCCATCATGCCTGACTTCAGAACATGACCTTAAATAAGACTGTTCTTATCAGTACTCTCAGAATCTGGGGGAGTAAAAGCATTCATTCTGAAAGTACATCTAGGTGGCATATCATGGCATCGACTATAATTAAAATCAACCCCCTGCCCTTTCTCTCCATGCTGTTCAGGTTCTTAGCTGTAAAGAGGAGGAAGGTAAGGAGAAAAAAAGCTAATTTCTTAAAGGATTATTTATTTATGTATATATGTTGTGGGTGTGCGTGTGCAAGTGCCCATGTACATGTGTGAAAGCCAGAAGTCAAGTGTCTTGTTCTATCACTCTCCACCTTATTCCCTTGAGACAGAGTCTTACTGAGTTTGGAGCTAAGCTGCTGGTAAGCAAGCCCAGTGATCCTTCCATCTCTACCTTCCCCACACTGCTGGGATTATAAGCCTATGTGACTATGCCCAGCATTGTACTTAGTTACTGTGGATTTGAACTCGGTCCTTATGCTTGCACAGCAAGTATACTTACTCAACAAGCCATCTCCCTAGCCCCTGTTGTTGGTTTTTAGGGGACAGGGTCTCACTCTCTAGCACAGGTTGGTATGGAACTCAAGTGACCATCTCCTCCCTTAGCTTCCCAAGTGCCGGGATTACAAGTGTAAGCCATCATGCCTAGCAATTCTAACTTAAACAAGAAAAAGAAAATTTTAATGGGTACTAGGTAGTTCACAGAATCTCTAGGACATCTGGAGAATCAAGCTTAGGAGCAACTACTAACATTAGTGACTAAAATATTCCTACAGAGCTGGCCTTTTGAAGACTTCAGCGTCTACCAAAACCACCACTGATACAGGCACTACTACCAACAGATTCAATATCTAGTACTGAGGGAGCAAATTGGCAGAGGTACATTCTTATACCCAACCTTTAAGGGAGGTTGATGTTCACAATTTCTGTAATAGGTGTAATATTTCTAAACATAGGAAGATGATTTGGATATTGGCAGCCAATAAGAATGTGTATTTTGTTCTCATTTTCTTCATCAAAAACCATATTATGCACATAATTTTCATCTTGCTTTTTGTTTTTTTAAAATTTTTTAATTTATTTTTATATGTATGAATGTTATGCCTGCATGTGTGTAAGTGCACCCGTGTCGTGCAATGCCTGTTGAGGACAGAAGAGGGCGATGGATCCCCTGGAAATAGAGTTATGGATGGTTGTTAGCTCCATGTGGGTGCTGGGAGTCAAACCAGTGTCTTCCGTGAGAACAGCCAATGCTCTTAAATGCTGAGCCATCTCTCCAGCCGTATCTTGCTTTTCCTTGCCCAGCATGGTGGCACATACTTACAATCTCAGCTACTTAGGAGTCTAAGACAGGAAGATGGCAAGTTTGAGGCCTGTCTGGACTACAGAGTGAGTTTGAGGAAATCTAGCAATTTAGTGAGACTCTATCTCAGAAAAGAGGAAAAAAAGGGGTAGAAATGGTTCTCAACGGTAGAGTGCTTGCCTAGCATGCACAAGATCCTGGGTTCAATTCCTAGTACTACAAAATGAAATTTCTTATTATCTTTCTCCATTTGTTTTGTTTTTGTGACAGGAACTCACAACATAAACCAGGTTGGCCTTGAACTCATGAACCTCCTGCCTCAGTCTCTCAAGCTGAGATTCACTTTAATATTTCTTAGATCACTTTTTGTAAGTAAAGCTCGATGTACAAGCCTATTCATCTCTTTTTAAAAACTATTTTATGTGAGTCTATTGCCTGCATGTGTGTAAGTGTACCCATGTCGTGCAATGCTTGTGGAGGTCTGAAGAGGGTGTTGGAGTCCCCTGGAACTGGAGTTACGGATGGCTCTGTGTGCTGGGATTGAACCCAGGTCCTCTGCAAGAGCAGCCAGTGCTTTTAACTGATGAGCCATCTCTCCAGCCCCCTTTTATTTTTTTTTGAGACAGGTCTCCTTATGTAGGCCTCTCTGGCCTGGTACTAGCTATGTAGCCCAGGGTGGCCTCAGACTATTAGCAACCTTCATGTCTCACTGAGTGCTGGGGTTACAGGCATGCATCTCCATGTCTAGCATGAGCTGGGTTTCTTGAACTGACTGAAGACATTTGTACTGAGGGGGTATGTACCATGAGTCTGATAGTGCTGTTATTAAAGGAATCAGTGAGAATATATACCCATATCAAGTGCTAAAGCCTTGTGATCAATATCTGAATGCCTCTCAAACTTACTAACATTTTTTTTTCTTTTTGAAAACTGAGGGGTGGAGATGAAAGTTCTTTGGCTGAGTACTTCCCTGCATGTTAAAGTCCTGGATTTGATCCCTAGCACAACTAAATACAAATTTAAAAATAGAGACTAGAGAGATTTCTCAACAGTTAAGAGCCCTTGCTGCTTTTCCTGAGGACTTGAATTCAGTTCCTCACACCCCACCCACATCACCTGTACCTCCAGCTGCAGAGGATGTGATGCCCTCTTCTGGCCTCCACAGTCATCCATAAGACACACACACACACACACATTAAAAGAAAAACTAAAAAAAATTGAGAAAAAGTTATGAATCTTTTTCTTTTCCCCCAAAAGTCCACATTTATTGCACACAATGTTTATTACTCTTTTTTTCCCTTTTTTTGAGTCAGGGTCTCATGTAGCTAAAGCTGGCCTGGAACTCAATTTTGTAGCAGAGAATGGCTTTAAACTTGTAATCCTCCTGTCTCCTCGGTGCTAGGATTTCACGTGTATACCACCACCCCTGCTTTTCACACACAAAATATTGCCAATAATGTAAGGGGTTCCATGAACTTCTGAAAACTATCTAGGGACCTCCTACATACTAGACAAAAGGTTACCACTAGAGTTGGGTCTTCATGGTACAGGCCTGTAATTCCAGCTACTCCAAAGGCTCAGGGATGAGGATGCCAAGTTCAAAGCCTGCTTGGGCTACAGAGTGAGTTCAAGACCAGTCTGCTTAGGTTAGAGAGACTCTGCCTCAAAATGAAGGTGAAAAATGACTGGGAATATAGCTAAGTGGTAGAGGGCAGGTGACCATGGGGCAGAGAGGGGAGCTTTGTCATTGAACCATACCCCCAACCCCTTCACACACACTTTACATTGTTTAAAAGGACAAATAAGGTAAAGTGCCATATTCTGAATCTTTCAGGAGGGTGTTTCAGACATTATGAATAATGGTTTCTGACCAGACAAAGGTGAATCATTCAGCAAATATTTTCTGGATGCCTGATACATATAGGCACTGTACCATGGACTGAGCTCACTGAGGTAAGACACCATTTCTGTCTTTGTTGAAACCAATCCCATGTAAAAAATGTCAATGTGGTTACTAGTGGCTCCTAAACGGATTTGGTTTCTCCACATTCTAGATTCAAGAGTTTGGTAAATCAATCTAACCCATTTTATCTATTGAATGGGATTACTATGTAGACAAGAACAGCCGTACATTTTCAACAGGATAACCTTTGTAAAAATGAACATAAAGGCATGGCTGTGCAGTATCTAAGTTCGAGACCAGCCTCAGCTATATGAGCCTCTGCCAAAATATAAAATCATAAATGAAGAAACAAAACACTAAGGTTATTAGAAGTGGTGGTTGGCAAGATCGCTCGAGGGAGCACAATAGCTTTTTTCAGTCTCCAAGGGCAATACAGCACCTGGCACGCGGTTTGCAACCACTCAGTACGCCTTCCCAGAAAGGTCAGGTTCCGCTTCCGCAGGCGGATCTTCCCTGCCGACAGCCCTCAGTCCTGCGCATGCTCCAGTGAGCCGGAGACCGGAAGTGCGGGGAGGTGGCGAAGCGCGCAGGACTGCCGGCGCTCTCGCTCCGGGGGCTGGGGGCGCGCGCTTTTGCGCGCTCGTTCGCGCGGCTGGCTGCGTACAGTAGTGACGGCCGCGCGGGAGCGGTCACATGACCATCGGGGCTGCCTGTACAGTAAGAACCCAATATGGCAGCGGCGGTAGCAGTGGCAACGGCAGCAGGACCAGCCGCCCCGTAGACACCCTCCCCCCACCCCGCGTGCCTCCTCGGCTGTTTCCTCCGTTAGGTTGTTCTTGCGGTGCGACTTCCCCTTTCTCCCACCTTTCCCGGTACCGCGGGAAAAGCCACACAGGGCAGAGCAGGCAAGGGAGGGCGGCCGGAGCCGGGGCACAGCAGCCTCCCAGTTCGTTCAAGACCCGACATGAGGGAAAAGGGCCGTAGGAAGAAGGGCAGGACCTGGGCGGAGGCCGCCAAGACGGTAAGGCGGAGGGAGCGGAGGGGAAGGCCGGAGCCGGTTGGTTTCCCCGCTCGCCGCCCGTCGCAGGGAAGCGGAGGTCACTTGGCCGCACGACCGGGCTGAGGGGCACGAAAGCGCGCGCTCAGGGCGGCGGTAGGGGTCGGGGCGTCCAGCCCCGAGGAGGCCGCTGCGCAGGCGGAAGGGGGTCGCCGCGCGGCTGCGGCTTCTCGTGGCTCCTGCGAACGGTCCTCTGGGTGCTACGGAGCTGCTGGTCGGGGTCATGTCGATGTCGCCCCCAGTCTGTGGTAGCTCCCGCCCCGGCACCGAGGAAGGGTGTTGCGCGCTCAGTAACCGGTTCTCCTCCTTGCGCGCCTTGGAGAGCCCCCATTGGATGCAGACAGGAGGAGGCTGGTGCGTGCATCCAGCCCCGGAAAGAAGAGGGGAGCGTCGGGCTCTCCCCTGCCGCGGCAGATATGCCGTCCCACCTGGGGCCTCTTGCTTATCTGGCGTTCGGAGCCTACCGGAGGTCACGAGGCTTTTGTTTGTGTTTGCCGTCGGAGCTGAAAGTGCGGGAGGTGTTTAGAAACGAAGTAACAGGTGGGACTTGTAGAATTTTTTTTTTCTGTTTCCGTAGAGACCTAGTCTGAACAAGGCAGCAATGCATGGTGGGAGGTGTAGTTTACCCTGCCTTCGCCTTTCTTTAAGCCAGACCTGGCCTGAAGAAGTTGGGATTAGGGGGCAGCCCCCCTCCCCGTTTTGTTAAATGGAAATTTAGAACTCAGTTTAAAAACAACAGTGAGGATTACTGAGAAACTCTGTTGTAAAAAGAAATCTAAAAGGTGTTTTAGGAGAAAGTGAAGTTCACGCCATCATTGGAGGTGCAATAGGGCATTAAACAGTGGCATTTCAGTGTGAGAAAGTGACATCATCTAAGTAGATAGCATAGTGAGTCCTTCAAAACGAACCCTTATAGGTCATATGGTTTATTTTTATCATTTTTAAAAACTTTTTTGGGGGGGGAGGGAAGATGGGCATGCTGTGGTGCCCAGTGTGATCAGAGGGAAGTTCTCTTTCATGGGGATTTTAAAGATTTGAACTCAGATCGTCAGGCTTGGTGGCAAGCACTTTACCCACTGGGCCTTCTCATTGGGCCCTTGTTTATTTTTTTACATGAGATTTTTCAGAGTTTGTCATGGGGAAATTGCGAAAAGTATAAAGAAGAAAATAAGAAATCAATTCACTCCAGCTGTGTCTGTTAATTTTAATATATTAATGCCTAGTCTTATTTGTTTCCCCAAATCTCGATTGTACTGCTAATTCAATTAGGATTTGTTTTGTAAACCATGTGCATGTTTTGTAAACTCTATGTGTCAGAGAGTTGAAGTATTTTTTTATGTTTATGAGTGTTGGCCTGCATGTACGTGCACCATGTATGTGACTGTTGCCCAAGGATGCAGGAACTTACGGAAGTGAGTGAATGCCGAGTTCTCAGCAGGCCACAGTAAGCATGCTCTGAACTACTAAGCTATCTCTCCAACGCCATATTAGTACTTATTTGTTGAATGTTTTCACTTACTATATATGTATATGCATATATTCATTTAATTTTGGTACAGAGTATCATGCAGACCGAGTTGATCTCTAACTCTGACTTAAGTCTTCTTGCCTCTGCATTTTGATTCCAGGTGTATACTACTATGCCCAGTGTATGGCGTGCTGAAATAGAAACTAGAGCGTCATGTATTCTATTGACTGAGTTACATCCCCTGCCCACTTAGAATGTATCTTTGAAACTACAGATAGTTTCCCTCTAAAAGATAAAAGTCTAGAAATATTTTTTTTTGGTCTTTTTTTTAATCTTTTTTTGAGACAGGGTTTCTCTCTAGTTACAGCTGGCCTGGATTCCCTATGGAGACCAGACTGGCCTCGAACTCACAGAGATCCTGCCTGCCCTCCTGCGTGCTAAATTAAAGGCATGCACCACCATGCCCAGCCTAGAAATAATTTTTAAAAATATTTTTATTTATGTGTATGAGTGTATTGCCTGCATGTATATAAGCGCACCTGTGTCATGCAGTGCACACGGAAGTCAGAAGATGGTGTTGGATTCCCCTGGAGCTAGAGTTAAAGACTGTAGTTAGCCGCCATATTGGGGCTGGGATCAAACTCGGGTCCTCTGCAAGAGTTAAGCCAGTGTTCTTAACTGCTGAACCATTTCTCCAGCTCCTAGAAATATATTTTTTTAATATTTTACTTAATTTTAGTATTTTTTGTCTTTTTGAGACAGGGTCTCCCTGAAACCCCAGCTGGCCTGGAACTCACTATGTAGTCCAGTCTGGCCTCCATCTTGCAGATATTTATGCCTCCTGAGTGCTGGGATTAAAGGCAATTTTTATTTTATGCACATGAGAATATTGCCTGCATGTGTTTAGGTGCAATGCCCGCAGAGGCCCCTAGAAATAATTTTTTGATGGTAAGGAGTTGCTCCTCCATGGAAGACTGTTTTACTTTCTACTTTAGGGATACTTCACAACTGCTTCCTGTTACTAAAAGAAAGAAAGGGAGGAAGAAAGAAAGAAAAGGAAGAAAATTTAGGGCTGAAGAGATGGCTTAGTGGTTAAGAGCACTGGCTGTTCTTGGAGAAGACCTGGGTTCAAATCCCAGCACCCACATGGCAGCTAACAACTGTCTTATCACTCCAGTTCTACAGGATCCAGTGCCCTTTTCTGCCCTCAGGCACTTCATGACACAGGTGCACTTAACACATGCAGATGACACACTCATAAACATAGAATAATATAAATAAAATTTTCAAAGAAAAAAAAATTTAGTTAAAAGTAAGCAGACCCCAAACTTATGTGAATTAACTAGAACCTGTTTATTTGTTAAGTTTGTTTTGAGACCATGTTTCATTATAGCCCAGGCTGTCCTCAGCATTTGAAGCAGTGTGATTACAGACATGCCCAGCAGACTCTGTATCCTCCCCCCACCCCCCATTCTGTAGTCCTAGAACTCACTGTGTAGTTCAGACTGACCTTGAATTTAAGATGATCTCTTGTCTCAGCCTCCCCTGTACTGGGATTATAGGCCTGGCATATGCCACTATGCCTGACTCAGTCTCTAGATGAAGACTTTCTAATTCATGATCTCTTTGGGTAAGATAATCACTAGGAGATTGTGATATAAATAGGAAGAATTAGTTTGCACTGACTTTCTTGCTATTATGTTAGTACTTTGCTTATTTCATGCTGTAGCTAATAATAGTGCTTAAAATTTTCATTTTTATGTGTGTATATCTGTGGGTGGGTATGTGCATCTGAGTGCAGGTGCTCTCAGAAGCCAGAGGCATCAGATCCCCATGGAGCTGGAGTTACAGGCAGTTGTGAGCCACACATATGGTTGCTGGAAATTGATCTCCAGTCCACTGGAAGAGCAGTACATGCTCTTAATGGCTGGGGTATCTCTCCAGTCTGTGAGTAATAGTGTTTAAAAGATTGAGAGTTTCTGAGGGGACTGGCATATTAGTAGCTTGGTATTTTTATTTGGTACTGGCAATTATATAAAGCCCAGTATAAGTAAAAATAACAGTGAAACTTTTTTCTTCTAGTAGTCAAAGTCTTGAAAACACCCTACTTATGTAGGGTAGAACAGGTTCATCAAGGAAACAGTTTTTGTGTTTTTGCATTCTAGAGCTAACTTGTTTCAGGGAGTGCTGTTAATATGAGGTTGTAGTCATGACCAGTAACATACCAGATAGGTTTTTTTTGTTTTGTTTTGTTTTTTCCTTTTTTTTGAGGCAGGGTTTCCCTGTATGTAGCCCCAGCTGGCCTGGAACTCATTGTGTAGACCAGACTGGTCTCCATCTCACAGAGAACCACCTGCCTCTCCCTCCCCAATGCTGAGATTAAAGGTGTGTACCACTATGTCCAGCTCACAACCTGGCTTTTTAAATATGTGTTCCCAGGATCAAACTCAGGTTCTCAGGCTTACATAGCAAGTGCCTTTAACCCATGGAGTTATCTCACCAACCCATTTTTGGGTTTGTATTTTGCTTTTTTTGTTTTGTTTTGAATTTTTATTTCTCTTATTTTATGTGTATGCGTATATTGCCTGCATGTAGGTAAGTGCACCTATGTTGTGTCCAGCAATGCCCGAGGAGGTCAGAAGAGGGTGTCAGATCCCCTGGGACTGGAGTTACAAACAGTTGTTAGCTGCCATGTGGGTGCTGGGATTCAAACCTGGGTCTTCTGCAAAAATAACCAGTGTTCTTAACCACTGAGCCATCTTGCTTTTGTTTTTTAAAATTAATTTCTTGTGCCGGGCATATTGGCGTATGCCTTTAATCCCAGCACTTGGGAGGCAGAGGCAGGCGGATCTCTGTGAGTTCAAGTCCAGCCTGGTCTACACAGTGAGTTCCAGGTCAGCTGGGGTCTATAGGGAGACCCTGTCTCAAAAAGACTAAAAAAAAAAAAATTAATTTCTTTCCTTAAAAAAAAGATTTTTAAAAAATGTATAGGAGTGTTTTTCCTGCACGTAGGTATGGGCCGCATGCCTGTGCCTGGTGCCTTTGGAAGCCAAAAAGAGAGTGTCAGATCCCTTGGAACTGGAGTTTTGGGTGGCTGTTAGCCATATGGGTGCTGGGAACTGAGCCTGGGTCTTATCTTGTGTGGGGGCATGCACCTGTGTATGTGTGTGGAGGCTAGAGGTTGACTCTAGATATCTCCTTTAATAGTTCTCTAGTTACTGAGACATGGTCTCTCACTGAACCTGAAGCTTGTCACTTTTACTATAGGCCTAACTAGCCAGCTTGCCCAGGGGTGATGGCTCCACTTCTCAAGTGTTGATATTTAGGTGGGGTGGACACCGTGCCCACCTGGATTTTTATGTGGGTTCTGGAGATCTGAACTCTGGTCCTTAATGCTTGTGCTGTAAGTGCTTTATCCATTTAGCTATCTCCCCACTCCTTTGTTCTATTTTACATTCCTGTTCTGAATGTCCATATACCTCCTACCTTGTTGAAC